AAACTGATGTTGAATAAGATTGTATGTCAACTATAATTATATATACATTTAGTCTCGGGACATGGAATAGAGAGGGGGATTGGAATCAATGGAATTGTAATAGATAAGCATGATATCTGGGGTGGGAGGGCAATACATGGGGGGAGGGGGGTTGTTACTCTGTGAGGGTGAAAAGGATAACTATTGCATTGTTCTGTACACCTGAAACTATAAAAAAAATTTTTTTAAAAGACGCAACAATGACAGACGATGAGGGCATTTTCTGAGGATTAATAGCTAGTTGAGTATGGTTGAAGGTCCAAGATATTGTCGAGGGATATTAACTGCAGCTGCTTTTTCAATCCTAAATTGCCGACAATATGGCAGTGATTGCTATTAGAGGAGGAGATTGCTCCATGGAAGAGGAGATTTTTTTAACGGAAGAGTAATATAGTTGTTATGTAAAGGGCATGGCTGAAAGCATTCAACTTTAAACATGGAATCAATAATACGACCCTGCTCATAATTGTTTTTTATGAATTAAATACTTACCTGTGCCATGCCTTTGACCTACAGCCACAGGATTAGTTTATCTTTGATGCCGACCGAGCCAATCATATCCTAATAGCTCACATTTCTTATTCCTTGGGGCTCCAGAGCATCTTAGAAAAATGAAAAAAAAAATTCATTTTTCCTACTGAAAAGGGCGGAAGGTCCCCTCGGTTTTGGAAAATAATTTAAAGTAAAGAACAGATCAATCTATGTGTTGTATTGTTTACAGGCGGTTCACCTACCACCTGATGTGTTCAGGCCCCAGACTGTCCATTTGCATAGCTGACACACATAGCAGAGCTGAGAGCATGGCAGTAGCCCCTTAGCATGACTGCAGCTCTCATTTAATAACGCAACCTTCCCCTACAACATCCTGAATTTCCTAATGTAACTGACAGGGGAGGGTGTCCAATGTAATAACTGAAAGAACTAAATCTTTTATAAGGTGCTATCAGATGGGTGTTATATGGAGTGGGAGGGTCATTGAAGAACCGAACTATCAAATGTGGTCATTCACTGCCCATTTGTGTGGTCAGTCCAGCAGGATTTTTCTTTTTTTTTTTTTAAAGATTTTATTGGGGAATTGGGGGAGGGGAACAGTGCTGGGAAATCAGGGGAAGGGGAACAGACAAGTTGCTGTCCTTTAGTCTTCAGTCAGTTATGGAGGATGTTGTTTCACTGGCCCATGTTAGTATGATCATTACGCTCTTCCNCTTAGCCCTATCAATATTTTGAATTGGCTAATTCTTTGTTGTGGGCTGCCCTGTACATTATAGGATGTTGAGCAGTGTCCCTGGCCTCTACCCACCAGATGCCAATATTGACCACCAGTTGTGACCACCAAAAAAATGTTTTCAGACATTGTTGATGTTCCCGGGGGGAGACGGGGCAAAATTACCCCCATTTTGACAAGTGATCAAAGGAGAAGTGCAGTACACAATTTACACTTTATTAAGTTAAACCATTATTTATTCAT